AGGCGCCTGGGGGCTGCCAGCCTGGTCCCGGGAAGAGGCGGAGGGCTGGGTGGCAGCGGGTGGCTGGTTCGTGCCATGCCAGGTGCAGGATCTGCTGGCTGGGTGCTGGCAGGCTTGCACCTGGCACGGGCACCGTAGCCAGACCATGCCTCTTTAAGGGCTCCGGGGCCGGGAGGGGGGCAGAAGAGTTTCTCTGGTGGTGCCCAGAGTAGCCACCGGGGAAAGCTGGGGAGGGCTAGCCTCCCACTAGTTCGAATTAAGTGGCTACACAGCCCTTAATTCGAACTAGTTAATTCGAACTAGGCGTTAGTCCTCGTGGAATGAGGTTTACCTAGTTCGAATTAAACGCTCCACTAGTTCGAATTAAGTTCGAACTAGCGGTTTGCATGTGTAGCGCCTATCAAAGTTAATTCGAACTAACAGCTGTTAGTTCGAATTAACTTTGTAGTGTAGACATACCCTCAGTTACTGCACCCTCTGGAACAGGGCTTATCAAGGGTTCCAGCAACAGAAATCCCATAGGGCTGCCCTTCACATTGCTTAAGCTTGGATTAGATTCTATTTCCATCAGATACTTTCTCCATGCAGGCTGGGTGTCAGTTTCAACCTACCAGGAGAAAAAAAATGATGTGCAAACAATCATTTCCAGTGTTTTTCTACCTTTGCATCTGACAAGACTAGGTTACAGAGGTGTTCAGAATGTCAGTGCTTGCAGTTCTCTTAAATTGTAATGCATTTTTTGTGGGTGACTTCATAAAACTCAAAGACATTTCAGTTTTATTTATAACAGTAATTTAAAGCAAATATATGTTGTGCATTTTATGAGGATATTTTGGATCCTAAGGAGGTAGGTACAGTACATGCATTGCATAAGTTGTCATCATGCAGCACAAAATACCCAATGGTTCATTAGTCTTTTTTTTTTCTCTCTTACTGCAGGCAGAGAATTCAGCATTGGCTCTGGAAAATGAAAATCAAAGAGAACAGTATGAAAGGTGCCTCGATGAGGTAATGTGAATTTATCAAAGCTTTTATGACAGATTTCTCCAAACATAATAGAAACAAACAACAAACGAGTAGTTTCCCAAGTCTTTCCACTAGGTTCCCAGCCCAAGAAGTTCTGTTGTTCTGCTTCAGGCCCAAGTTCGTGACTGTGTCTCTAGCTGTCTGCTAACTTTCTCTCCTCTTACACAAACACAGCTTGCCAAACAACCCTTTAGCTCTGAGTTTACAATCAGGGAGCCCTCGGCTCACATGCCTGGTTTAGCATCCCCATGCAGCCCATTGCCTTTAGCAGTAGCTTCTGTTGTTTCAGCTATTTCTTTATATAAAGGGACTTAACTGCTCCTTCCCTTGGTCCTGAAAGAAGGATGCTTAGCATGAAGCCCAGATTAACCAAAGTGCACTCCGTGCCCTTGCACAGAGTCCCCATCTTGGTGGGGATGGGGAAGCATTAGTGACAACTGGGGAGGAAAAATGGATGGGTAAATGGCATGTTAGATCATTTTCTTTTGCCTACTACATTAATCCTCATGCTGAAAGGGAGGGGTCCATCCTCTGACTTCCTGATCTCTCCCCTGCTGCTGCCACTGCTGCTTTTGTGAGACTGCTGTGTTGCTTCTGCTGTGCAAGCAGGGCTGGCCCGAGCCGTGTTGCTGCCCCCGGGCACATGGCGCATGCATGGGCCTGCCTCCCCCCCCAGGGAGCACGGGCCCGCTCTGGAGCGCCCGACACATGCACGGGCCCACCCCCGGTGTGCACGGCGCATGCACTGCCCGGCCCGGCCACTGGTGCACAGCCCAGGGCCCACCCTCCCCTAGGGAGCATGGGCCCGCTCCCGGGACGCACAGCGCATGTGCTGCCCGGCCTGGCTGCTGGTGCGCAGCCTGCAGGGATGGGGGGGGTGGCGCTGTGGGAGCCGGGCGCGCAGCACCTGATGGCAGCTATAAGGGACGCTGCACGCCCCTTACAGGTGCCATCAGGTTGGCACCCTGGGCAGCTGCCCGGCTCGCCCACCCCTTAATCCATCCCTGAGTGCAAGGCAGTGGCTAGCTGCACTGGGATCTTTTTATTTGGAAGCAAAGAATGCTCAGGATATTGCTGCTGCCTAACTCCTGTAGGAGCTGCAATCAGACACAAATACAATTAACAAATAATCCTTTTAATGCCCATGGGACCATGAATACCATGGACCCCTTTGAAATAAGCATACCCTTCTCCAAAGTTATTCCTGACCAGGAATGCTCAGTAGAGCTAGTCAAAAAATAAGAACAATTTTTAAAAAAAATATCGTAGAATACTAGGACTCGAGAGGTCATTGAGTCCACCCCCTTGCCCTCATGGCAGGACCAAATACTGTCTAGACCAACCCTGATAGACATTTATCTAACCTACGCTTAAATGTCTCCACAGATGGAGATTCCACAACCTCCCTGGGCAATTTATTCCAGTGTTTGACTACCCTGACAGTTAGGAATTTTTTCCTAATGTCCAACCTAAACCTCCCTTGCTGCAGTTTAAGCCCATTGCTTCTTGTTCTATACTGAGAGGCCAAGATGAACAAGTTTTCTCCCTCCTCCTTATGACACCCTTTTAGATACCTGAAAACGGCTATCATGTCCCCCCTCAATCTTCTCTTTTCTAAACTAAACAAACCCAATTCTTTCAGCCTTCCTTCATAGGTCATGTTCTCTAGACCTTTAATCATTCTTGTTGCTCTTCTCTGGACCATCTCCAATTTCTCCACATCCTTCTTGAAATGTGGTGCCCAGGACTGGACACAATTAGGACACAAAGTAAGTCCTAAATCACTTTTATTGGATTTAGGACTTACTCCCATGAGTGATGGCTGCACAGAGTAGAGTGGAAGAAAGACTTCTCGTGTCTTTCTCACAACACACCTGTTAATGCATCCCAGAATCATGTTTGCTATTTTTGCAACAGCATCACACTGCTGACTAATATTCAGCTTGTGGTCCACTATAACCCCTAGATCCCTTTCTGCCGTACTCCCTCCTAGACAGTCGCTTCCCATTCTGTATGTGTGAAACCAATTGTTCTTTCCTAAGTGGAGCACTTTATATTTCTCTTTATTAAACTTCATTCTGTTTACCTCAGACCATTTCTCCAATTTGTCCAGAGCATTTTGATTTATGACCTTATGCTCCAGAGCAGTCGCAACCTCTCCCAGCTTGGTATCATCTGCAAACTTAATAAGCGTACTTTCTATGCCAATATCTAAATCTAAATCAATATCTGATGAAGATATTGAACAGAGCCGGTCACAAAACAGACTCCTGCAGAACCCCACTTGTTATACCTTTCCAGCAGGATTGAGAACCCTTAATAGCTACTCTCTGTGTATGGTTATCCAGCCAGTTATGCACCCACCTTATAGTAGCCCCATCTAAGTTCTATTTGTCTAGTTTATTGATAAGAATATCAAGCGAGACCATATCAAACGCCTTACTAAAGTCTAGGTATACCACATCCACCGCTTCTCCCTTATCCACAAGACTCGTTATCTTATTGAAGAAAGCTATCAGATTGGTTTGATATGATTTGTTTTTTACAAATCTACACTGGCTGGTCCCTATCATCTTGCCACCTTCCAAGTGTTTATAGATGATTTCCTTAATTACTTGCTCCATTATCTTCCCTGGCACAGAAGTTAAACTACCCGGTCTGTAGTAATATGAAAAATTGTGTCTCTGTTGTTTGGAAAGCTTCCGTATGCTAAGGCTGGGTCTACACTAAAAGTTCAGTTTGAACAAGATAGGCAACTCCAGCTATGTGAATTGCATAGCTGGAGTGGATGTACCGTAATTCATACTTTGGCACTGTCCCCATAGCGGGAGGCTGACGGGGGAAATGCTCCTGTCAACTTCCCTTACTCCTCGCGAGGAGTAGGAGTGCTGGCATTGATGGTGGTGCCTTCAGAATTCAATTTAGCAGCTCTTTACTAAGATCAACCTTCAGGGCATCAATCCGTGGGTAAATATAGACATAGCCTGAGAGTCTAGGTTCCAGGCACAAGCCCCATACTTCCCAGACAGGAGCTCCTTCCCTGGTCTTTTTCCTGTTTAGCCCAGATTCTAGGAGCTTCCTCTGCAATCCTCAGGATCGCCGATCATCTGCCTGGGATCTGCCTCTTTCCTTTCAGGATGGCTTGCATCTTCATTTTTACCACTAAAATGACCTGGCTGGATGAGGCAAAGGGACTCAGTTGTCCTGAAAACAATAGGCTCTAATCAGTCCCAAAGCTTCAGTAGATCAGCCCTCCGAAAGAAAGCTTCAGAGTCAAAATTATTTTTAATTTCCTACCCAACAATCAAATTAAACATGAATCATCATCTTTGGACTCCACAAAAACCACAGGATCTCATCCGTGTCAAACAGCAGAAGAAGCCACAGGTGGTGACTGCCTCAGCCAGAGATGATGCTTACTGTGCTTACTGTGCCCTTTTTAGGCTAAAGGAAGTGCTGTGGATCAACTGTGTATTTCATCCTCTTCATGTCTTGCACAGTGCAGAGGGCTGGATTCAGAGCACTTCATAAACCCTGGGGCCTTGTGCTTCTGTGATGTTGCCCTGCCCCTATTTGGCACAGTGATGGTTGTAGGTCTCTCGGTTGACTGAGAGAATCTGCCATTGTCCTGTGGACCCTCCTTCCCAAACCACTGATTTCTATCCAGGAAGGCCAGAGTCTGTCCCAAGCAAAAGGTAAACTTGCCACCACATCAGCAGACTCTGTGGTTGGCCCTACATGGCACTATAGGCTTCGACCTGAGTGTGCAATCCCAGCATCACCCCAGCCTAGTCATGATGCAGTGGCAAAAGCAGAGCTTTCCCATGATACGCACCTCTGCTGAGGTGTCAATAGCCCTGACACCCTCAACAAACAAGAACTAAGGAGATGAAGGCATCAGAGTTCCCTCTTTCTGCCTTTCTTTGGGGAGCAAATAGCGGACTCAGCTTACATTTAAAACCTATGAGTGTAGCCTTGTTCACTCCCATTACTTCCTCCTCTGTTCCTGCTCAATGCCATCGTTCTTTCTTCCTTATTCATTTCGTGCCCCTCATTCCCTCTTCAGGCTTATTCCTATGGCTTAAAATTTCATCTTCTCCAATCATTTTCACCAATGAAACTCAAATTCAAATATTCATAGACAGAAAACACACGAGATGTGAACGTAACTGAAGCAAAATCCTTTATGAATTCTATTAATATAGTCACAGATTTTTAAAATTAATTGCCCGTCTCCAGTATTTCATTTGAAGTTGACACATAAACATCTCTGGAATAATATTTGGAAGTAAGTAGCACTGAAATGTTCAATACTACACAAAGCAGAAAAGGAGCTCATTTATTTAAAATTCAAAAATATACTGTAAACCTATCTCTCTGTCTCAAGAAAACATAATGCAAGAAACAGGATTATCTTCCTGTATTTTATGGTCTTGATCTTACATGCTTAAACCTAGTTTCCTATTCAGGAATTTGACTGTCAGTTTATTGGAAAGCAGTAGTATAATGTTTATTCACATTGGTTGTGCCAGCAAAGATTTCTGTCAAGCTTGGTTGTACTGATAGAGAGAAAAATGTACAAATGACTGTTTCCATATACACAGCAGATGGATAGAATCTTAAAATGATTGCATATTAATATTACTATTATACATTTCTAATTAGCAACTCCACCATATAAAGGCTTCTTCAATAGGCACTTTAACAAAAATTAAAGAAAATATTTATCAGGGCTTCTGTTTGTTTAATTAGAAAACCCTGAATGTTACACAAATGGATATATTAAAAATACAGCTCTGTTAAAACAAATACTTCACATGCAGAAACCAAGGTGTGCTAAGAATGACCAGACCAAATTTGACTGAGAGGCATTGCAGCCTCATGCAGGAGGTCCAGCATGACTCAGGTGTGGCATTCCCCTCCCACATTAATAATAGAGGTTGTGACTCAGATTTCAGCCTTACTCTGGGCCTGAGGCAATGCACCAGGCTGAGAATCTGAAGTTAGGAACAAAATCAGGGAAGATTCTCCCTTCCCTTAGCATGGAAGATTCTCCTACCCTTAGCATCAGGGAGAGGGAGGGCTAGGAGTGGCCTTCCAGATGCACCCAGGGCAGAGCCTCTCCAGCTCTAGCCAGCAAGCAGAATCAGGACATCCTTACATTGTAAAGTGTTTAGCTAGTAATTTAAACACAGTCTGTTTTCCAAAGAAGTGTTCAGAGTTTCCTGGGAACTGTGGTCATTAGTATCTGTGAAAATCAAGCAGCATTTAGGCTTGTCTGTGCTGGGACATCCAGGAAAATTAGTTCAAATTAAATGTGTTAATTTGAAGTGGATTAATTAAACCACATTAAATCCATATGTGGATGATGCTGATCAAAATTAAAGAGGCCTTATTTATGTAGTTTAAATCACTGTGGAAGTGAATAAAACTTTACTTTACTTTGATTCTGAATGAAGATGTTCACATATACTTTTTTTTACATGATTTCATTAATCCTCTTCAAATTCACACCTTTAAATAATTCAGATTAATTTTCCTGGATGTCCTATCTTCAGGCACCCAAGTTAGAAAAAATTGTCCAATGTGCATTAGCTTTTTTTTCTCAGCTGGGAGATTATTCCATTTACACTTCTCTGTGTAGTATATAAAGCTGTAAAAATAATTTTATAGGTAATGGTTTTGCAAGTGCTGTGTACATATTGCAAAGAACCCTTTAGTCCTTTTTGGTAAAGTAACCTTATGTCTAAAGAAATAATGTATTAGATGTGATTTGTTCAATTTTCAGGTAGAGCAAACAGACGTTAAAAGTACATGCTAGAAGGAACACTGTCAGATGTAGATTCTAAAAGCCTGTAGGGCAACACCTGGAATATAACATATTTACTCCTGTGGGTTATTACAGTTCCAGTATTCGTCTGTCTTCTGTTAAATCATGTATAGAGCTATTTTGTGTGACCATTGTTCCACAGGCTGCCTTAAATTAGGGACCAGTTTGGAGAAAAAAATAGATATTGGGCCATTTTACGAGACTATGAATCAAATCAAAGTTTTGGGTCTTAAAGAACTGAATTATTTACAGAAATGAATTAGCTTCAGCTCTTTGCTCATGATTCAGTTCACTTGAATGGTCTTTTTTATATTTTTACTTTAAATTCACTAACAGTAAAGACAGGCAATGTAGATTTGTACTTCCAAGTGACAGCCTCATGTATTCTAGTTTAACTTTTAAAAAGCCAAAACGGACTAGAAACTAGGCTCCATGCATAGAGTTAAGCCTGTGATTATGTTTCAAAAAGGAATCACAAGAGACAGACTGAACATGTGACAATACATTTATAGTTTCAAAAATGTCCTTTGATTATGGTAATACATTTTAAATGAAATATTTAGCAAAAACATTCCTCTGTGTCAAAAATCTAAATAATAAGAAGACACTTGAATAAAATTTAAAAATTCCCTGCTGCATATACAGGTGTGTAATCTGATTCAAGTCAATTATACATTATGATGTGAATGCTTCCAATCATATTATGATAACTGTAGGTATTTAAATTTTCTGTCTCATTTGATTGTTTCTTGCCTGTCATGATAGATGTACCTTTTTGTCGATATTGAATCAAGAAACAATTAAGCTGATCACATCCTCAGCTAGTGCAAATCAGTGTAGCTGTATTGAAGTCAGTGCAACTACAGTGATTTACATCAGCAGGAGATATGACCCTTACTTTGTATTCTTTTCAACTGTTTTGGATCCAGAAGAACAAAACAAAGATTGGTAATGTCATATTAAAATTATTACGATGTATATGTTTGGTATGAAATGGGGAACCAGGAAAAATGTCATTATCTGATTTACAGACTGGGTTTGGGAGTTTACTCCGTGGGGGAAATGGCTTACAGTAGGACACGTTGCACCTCTATAAACCAAAACTCTCTGGTCCGGCAACCATCATGCCACAGGGGGTGGGGAGTCTGGCACAATGTGAGGGCAGAGAGGAAACCTGGCATTCAACCCAGCTGGACTGGGGTGGCAGGAGCCGTGAAGGCCAGTGCATGGGAAGGGTATGCCAGGAAGACCCGAGCATGACCTAGCTGGGCTGCTGGGGGAGCCAGGAAGCTCAGTAGAGCGGCAGAGCAGGAGATGGGGTTGGTAGCAGGGGAGCCAGAAATGACCTCCCCTGATCTGGCAAAATCCCTTCTTTGGGACCAATTAGGTCCCCAGCGTACCAGACCAGGGAGGTCCAACCTGTATCCCTCTGGAAAGAGTCTCCTTCATGAAACAACTCAATATAATAATACAGTGCTCGGTAATATTATTTTATTATTTATTTCTTACAGGTAGCCAACCAGGTTGTTCAAGCTCTACTTACTCAAAAGGTAGATTGTTTCTCTGATTTTTGGCATGTAAACCATTGAATTAGAAATGCATGTTTTTATTCAGAATAAATTTTTCAGTTTGTGTTTCATTGATGCAACTGCAAAGTGTCAAAATATGACCAGTGTTCTCCCAGTAATCATCCTGAATAATAATTTTGGGAACTGGGTGCCTGCTAGGATTGATAATGGAATATATAGCTTCATCCCATTCAATATTTAGAATTGGCTTGGCTAAGATCAGTAATTCTTCATAGTTCCTCCTATCTTTGTTTTTGTGTGTCCTATCCACAATGTGTCCTGTCTCCCAATCTGGTTCCTTTTGGGCATCAAAAAAATAGCATCATAATCTTGTGGGCTCTCAGCAGAATGTAAGGGTTATAGGCGAAAGCCTGTTCCTCCAGATGGAAATGGAAGGTTTCCATATACACAGCAGAGGAATGGATAGTCTAAGGCTGGGTAGTAAAGAAGATATACAGGGAATGCTTGAGCTTCATGCTATGGAACTGAATTGTATAGCAGTTTTGCATATGGCAACAGTGCAGATTGGGATTTATGGGTAGGCCATGTAGGAATATCTGGAGGACAACCACCCATATTCACAAATTCTAAAGATCAGTGGACAGACCATATGGAGGGAACAATTAACATTTGCTAAAGCCCTACACACACTACCGTTACTACAAAATGACTCCATACGTGTTCCTCCTGGTTGGGGAAGAATATTTCATCTCCACATCTTCAGAACAAAATCTTTGACTCTGTGCCACCAATTCCACCTTGCGTAGATTTGGAAATGAGTCTGCACTCTCAAGCTTTGTGGTGGTCTACAGAGGTCAGCTATGAGGCAAGGCAATCTGGGGAAGCTTATACTGTTGCTATATATAAAATCAGAGGATTGATCCTTGTGCACTTAAAGCAATTGCATATCTTATAATGGTGACATATTTGCTAGTGATTCACTTTCAATATTTTAGTCTATAATTTAGGAAATATTGTGTTTATTTTCCAAAAACAGACAGAAACGCTCTGAATCCTTTTGTGCTGAAAGTCAGATTTTTTATGACAACATATTTTCTCAATAATGGATCCACCCAAAGTCATAGGAACCATGGAGTTTTTGCAGATATAATAAAAAAGATTTAAATACATTTAATAAAGAGATTTGCTGAGTATTGATGGTATTTAACAGCTGCTTACCTACTGCTGAGTAGTACCAGCTAATTTAACATCCATGGAATGGAGAGGGTATTCTTCTAAATGCTAATAACTGTTAAGTGTTACAGTACTCCCACCTCTGTTCATACTGAGATCATTTATAAGAGGAGAGGAGAACAATAGGTGTAGGAAATTGGACTTTTTGGGTCACTCACAAAAAGCTAATCTCTATACAAATCCAGGTAATAACTGGTAAACAGATAAATCTACCATAGTGCAACTAAGCAGTAAGACATTGTAAGCCATGCCACAGTGAGATATCAAACCTCTGGGGCATAGTGATGCATGAAGACAAGCTGAGAGCTTTCAAAGATTCAAGAAGAGTAATATCACACAGTAACCTGTATTGGGTATGCTTTATTGTGATTTTGAAATTGCTCCACAAGGGCTAATTTTTGTTTAAATTAAGTATGTACTGTACTGTAAGGGATAAAGTACTACACCCAGCAGTGTATGAGAAGTCTGTGGTTCCACTGAGAGATTCTGATGAGATAAACTGAAAGAGTAAAGCCTGAGTGATTTGTCAATGTCACTGAAACCTTGAGATGGAATTACAGTCTTAAATGTGCTCTTCTGGAGTATATCGTGTTATAATACATAAGGAATTCCTCTGCTATGGCCAGCTTTTTACCAAGAGCATGCAAAAAATGTGTGAAATTGTGAATTTTCCTGAAATAACCCCTGAGCAAAATTTCACGTTTTTATGCAGATTTTTTTGGGGGGAGAGGGGAGGAATTCACCCCATTTACAAATAGATTTTTCCTCTGGGAAATCTGAGAAATCAAATCTGCAAATACATTTTGTGTGTTTGCTGGTGGGGGGAGGGGGGTTGCACAGCCCTGTTAATTTATGTGCATATCATCAACTATCATTCTTCATGTATCCAGAGATAGCATAACTCAGCATGGCAGAATTAGTTCCCATGGGCAAAGAGGGAGGTAGTATTTTGAGGCTCCACACAGGAGGTGAATCCCCTGCACAATTTGTAACCTACCACTGCTAGGGTTTCCTATGTGCAACACATGGGAAAGAGCCTAAAAAAAAGGTAGGAAAATGGGGTACTGCTGCTACAGAGCATTTCCCTTTTCTTGTCATGTTAACACTCTAGAAGCAGATTCCAGAAGTCTGGAGTAAACTGTGTGAAATAGTTTTTCACCCTTTGTGAGGTTTCCATCCCCTCTCCAGAGATCCCTAGTGCTCAGTGGAGAAAGTGTGGCTGGGTGCTTGGGTCTAAGTTTTCCTAAAGATCTGGATCAACATGGTGACATTGGAGTTACAGTGCATAATGGAATTGCCAATTGATCCATATATATGACCTTTGCTTTTCACCCTGCTACACCAGGGTCCTTGCAGGCAAGGGCTGACCCATGTTCTCTGCTTTAGGATCCACAAGGTCCCTTTCTAATCTTTAAATTGTTGCCACCTGTTATCTGGTATTACAAGTTTCCTTTCGAGCTGTGTATGGCGAATATGTGGACAGTAATGAAGCCTTACTACAGAGGAAATGGATTCAAAGGAAAGGCTGTGGATTTCTACAGTTTGAAGGAAAGCCATCATTTCCCAGCTGAGGGAAAATAGTTCTGGTATTGCAGAATAGTGCAGTGGGTGTTTGTAAGAATAAACACCTCAAAGACTATGTGACACCAACAGCTGGCCTATATTTACCAGAAGTTTCACGCTCCAGTAGTTGATCTTCTAGTGTTCGATTTAAAGGGTTTAGTATAGACCCCTAAATTGAACACTAAGGGCGGCTTCAGCTGGTGTCCAATATTCCTCCTTTTGTGAGGAGTAAGGGCAGCCGAAGGGAGCATTTGCTCTGTTGGTTTCCCACAGAATGGATGCCACCATGGCTCGGCTGAAGGTAAGCCAACTCCAGCTACTCATTTTGCATAGCTGGAGTGGTGTGCCATAAGCTGACTTTCCAGGTCCAATGTATACCTGGCCTCAGATACTACAACACTGTGAGAGAAATTTGTGGAGTCACTTTTTTAATATCCACTCATTCTACCATCAGAAAAGGACATAATGAGATACTTCAGGATTTGTTAATTATGGTGCTACCTGCCTACTGATCAATTTACTATTTTAATATAACCAGGCATTCTACTTTACATGAATATTTTAATGTTCTAAAGACCTCCACAGTTTGCTCTTAAAGTGAAAGGTTTGAGAGGCTACATTGGTCAGGTTATGTCTACACTTGCAGAATTTTTTTGCTGACAGTTTTGTCAGTATTAGAAAACTGCTAAAAGAAAAGTGCTGCTTTGTGTTCACATTGTTATCTACAGGCATCAGAGAATTTTTACATATTCAGTATTTCTATTGCCAGTGAGAGTTGTGCACTGTAGTAGCCTACTAGGCATTGCTCTGGGACACAAAGCAAATCATTATTGTGGTGGAGGGGTGTGTTTGTGAACTAAGGATATTAAATTGTGGTTATCTAACTAATCATATAGTCGCTACAATTTGTGTCGACTACACTACTAGTCGATAAAGAACACTATGCAAAGCTACATTTAAATATAGAGGTGCAGTGTCCCCGACCAGCGTGAACCTGGACTCCTCGGTCCAGCTCATGCCGACTCCACCACGCTTCATTAGCATAAACTCACCCGTGCGCTATTCCGCTCGCCAACTGATTCGAACCAGGAAGTGTGCTCAGGACACGTTAGTTCAAATCAAATCCCTGGATTCAAACTAACGTTACTCCTCATAAAAATCAAAACCAAGGGGTTTGACTCGAACAAACGTGTCTCAGAGCGCACTTCCTGGTTCAGATCAGATGGCGAGCAGAATAGTGTGCGGGCAAGATTATGCTAATGAAGCACGGGATATTTAAATCCCCGCTTCATTAGCAATTTCGGTAGGCTACATTTGCATCCCTAGTTTGAACTAGGGAGCAAGTGTAGACGTACCCTGAGAGAATTAAAGCTTTAGGAATTCAATACACCTCAAATAGATATCATTGCCTCATCATTTTTGAAGGCATCAAATGTGTAACTTAGGATATGTCTACACTACAGCGCTAATTCGAACTAACTTAGTTCTAATTAGTTAATTCGAACTAAGCTAATTCGAATTAGCGCATCTAGACTTAAAAACTAGTTCGAATTAGCGTTTTGCTAATTCAAACTAGCATGTCCATATTGAGTGGATCCTGAACAGAGGTTAAGGCTGGCCGGAAGCAGTGCCGGCAGGGCATCAAAGTAGGACTTAGAGCGTGGAGCTGCTGTCTCAGGCTAGCCGAGGGCTGTGCTTAAAGGGACCCGACCCCCACCCTGGACAAACAGTTCTCAGGGGTGCCCCGCTTGCAAAGCAGTCCTGGCTTGGAGTGCCCTGAGTGCCCACACTTGGAACATCACAGCACTCGGCCATCAGCCCAGCTGCACTTGCCCCAGGCTGCCATCCGGGGGGAGGGGACAATCAGGGGGCTGCAGGAGAACTTCTACCCCGAGCAGCCCGCAAAGCCAGCCCAGTCCTTCCCATCGGGGGCTCGTAGCCCATTCCTCCCTCACCTCTTTCCACTTACCCCTACCTAGCCCCCCTTCCTGATGTACAAAATAAAGGACACGTGTGTTCAAAAATAGAATCTCTCTTTATTGAACAAAACTGGGGGAGACTGGGAAAAGGAGGTAGGAGAGGGGAAAAGAGAGGCTGCGAGAGGGGAGGGCAACTAAAATGATCAGGGGTTTGGAACAGGTCCCATATGAAGAGAGGCTAAAGAGACTGGGACTTTTCAGCTTAGAGAAGAGGAGACAGAGGGGGGATATGATAGAGGTCTCTAAAAGTATGAATGGTGTGGAGAGGGTGCATGAAGAAAAGTTCTCCATTAGTTCCCATAATAGAAGGACTAGAGGACACCAAAGGAAAGGAATGGGTAGCAGGCTTCAAACTAGTAACAGAAAGTTATTCTTCACAAAGCAAATAGGTTTAGAAAAGAGGAGACTGAGGGGGGATATGATAGAGGTCTATAAAATCATGAGCGGTGTGGAGAGGGCAAATAAAGAAAAGTTATTTATTAGTTCCCATAATGGAAGAACTAGAGGACACCAAATGAAGTTAATGGGTAGCAGGTTTAAAACTAATAAAAGAAAGTTCTTCAAAGAGCATGTTGTTAACCTGTGGAACTCCTTGCCAGAGGAGGCTGTGAAGGCTAGGACTATAACAGAGTTTAAAGAGAAGCTAGATAATTTCATGGAGATTAGGTCCATAAAAGGCTATTAGCCAGGGGATAGAAATGTTTGTCAGAGGCTGGAGAGGGATGGCAGGAGACAAATCGCTTGATCATTGTTTTCGGTCCACCCTCTCTGGGGCACTTGGTGCTGGCCACTTTTGGAAGACAGGCTACTGGGCTAGATGGACCTTTGGTCTGACCCAGTACGGCCCTTATGTTCTTATGAAGCTCAGGGTGGAGGTCTCGCTGGACCAACTTGATTTTCATGCAAACCTGCTCCTGGGTAGAAAGCTGCTCCTGGGTGGCCAGGCTGGCAGCAATCCTGCCCTAGACGGCCACTTTCCTGTGCCTAGTACGGAGGTCGTGGATGAGGTCCACGATCTCCGCACTAGACCAGGCGGGTGCCTGCCTCTTGCGGACCTGGGCAGGGTCCCGGGAGCCGCCAGCCCGGGGTGTTGGCCAGAGTGGTTAGCAGGGAAAGCTGGGGAGGGCTAGCCTCCCACTAGTTCGAATTAAGTGGCTACACAGCCCTTAATTCGAACTAGTAAGTTCGATCTAGGCTTAGTGCTCGTGGAATGAGGTTTACCTAGTTCGAACTAAGTGCTCCGCTAGTTCAAATTAAGTTCGAACTAGCGGAGCGCTATTGTAGCGCCTATCAAAGTTAATTCGAACTAATGTCCATTAGTTCGAATTAACTTTGTAGTGTAGACATACCCTTAGATAGTTTTTAAACCACTTAAAATAAGCACTGTCCTATTAATGTATCTAGGGAAAATAAGTGTATAATTCATCCAGTGATACCTCTATAACTAAAGATATTTCAGCATGCTTCCAGTGGTCTCAGGGCAAGATTTTCTCATTGTGTAGTGACCTCTTTTGTATTCTCTGTGCTGGCTATAGTACACTTTAGATAAGAACCGCCACTTCGGCAGACAGGCACTTTAGTTACTTCTGACTATAATTTCCCACTCTGAGCAGCTACCTCATCAGGTTCATTCACCTCTGTGGGTCAATACATTGTTAATGCTATTGACAGACAAGCATATTGAAGCCAGAGGCCTGTTTCTCCACCATGTGATGAAAAATAAATGTACTTAGGCAGTGCCAGAATATAGCAGCTGTTCTAAATGTAAAGAAACTGAAAAGAGTGGTTATACTTTTTGTGGGAATAAATGTGCCTGCAGTTTATTTGCTCACATGAGTACCACTAGGATTGCAATCCTTTCTGATTTTTGCAGGTCATGCTGACTGTAACACAGAGATCTCATGTCCTGCAAAATAGACTACCACCTTTATTATATAACTGTGTGCAGAGAGTTAAAGTCAAAGCCTACCTAATCACTATAGAATTTCACTTTGTTGCAGATTGCTATGTCCCTTTAAATGGCCAATGAGAGGAAGTCTTAGGCCCATATCTGAAATTTGTATTCAAATATACTTTCAGCCAAGCTGTACCGTGAGGCCAATTTATGGCCCTAAGTTTGAGAGTTGCTTTGTTCAAAATACTGTGCTATCAACAAACACTTCTGTCCTGCTGCTAAAGATAGATCTGTTCAAAAAATGGATCCAATATGTTATAGTCAGCATACTTTAGTGCTACTATCAATTGCGAGGTATACCTATGTGGTTCAGAATATGTGCCAGGTTTTGCTCCATGTACCAAATACTTTAATGATTGAAATTCCATAGGAATATCAAAAATATAAAGAAAAGTCACCACCTTCTGCAACAGCACAGAAATTGCAGAAGAGTGGAGCAATGAAAGGGTTGCAGATGCTGCCAAAAGCCGTTAATTAAAATATTATTTTTTTAATTTGCAATTGTTTACAATACTCACTTAGATAATTGCTGTTAAAATGTATTTGCATATTACCTTTTTCATTTTTAATTGGGCAAACATTGATTCCTCCTACCCTTGCAATTTTGATGGAATATACACCAACATGGCTAATGTTTACTTCATGGATTGTATATCAGCACTATCAAAGATGCCATTGTGGCTCTGAGAATAAAGCATTTGTTATGTTCCTTCAGCTATCTGGTTGCATAGCTCCACAGGACTCCTCGTCGCCGCTGCTGCAGCACGAGAGCATAAAACAGGTTTTGCATAAACAGTGGGTCTAGTAAAGTGGTCTTTCATTAATATTTTGCTAGCAGAATAGTGATTGCAAAAAGAACAAACATTTAGGATCTGCACGTAGGCCTGGGTCCAGAAAAGCACTTAAGTACGTGCTTAATTTCAATAGGTTTCTTATGTATATAAATAATGCTTGAAGTGCTTTTGGTCTTAGATGCAAGTGTGATAGACATCTAAAATCTATACTATATCAATTCCCATTAGACCATAATAATTCTAAAGAAGATAAAATTAATGGGCTAAATTACTCGGCAATTTCTCTTTAAATAGTTATCCGTTCAGTTACAAAAATTGCATCATCAAATTTGACGATTGAAATATTTTATAGTGTGGAATTATGCTGGGTATATAAAAACACATACATGGTTTTCTAGTTTATCATGCCACCATTCACTCTGTTCTGAGCGGTGATTTGGACTTTGTGGCAACCTAAGAGATAAGGGGCTAAGATTCAGTTTTACTGCCCTGTACTAGACCTGGGGAATGGGTATAGCTAACACTATCCCCCTCTAGAGGTGAAAGATGAAAGGTAGCCTTTGGCTAATTGACCTGCACTCTTCAGCTCAGGCATATGGGCTTTAAAAACCAGAGATCCCAGGTGAAATCTCAGCAGCAGACAACCCAGCCAGGGTCATCATGTTACAAATAGTAGCTCTTATTGGTAGTTAATCTGGGTGAACCTTTAAAACTCGGGATGAGATTCGTCAGCCTAAGCTGTAGCAGACTCATCATCCTCTGTCTGTGGTCAAACCACCTCTAGAGTGGCTAGTCCAGAGCTGGTGGACAGGAAGACGTATGGAAGATAAAGAGTCTTGGCATTCCCCCCTTTTCAATGCAGCAGTTAGCACAACTCAGCCAGCATGGACAGTGGTACTCTTTTCTTTTTGTACAACTGCTCCAGCAC